AATAAATTCTTATTTGCAAATGATATAAATCCCCTCCCAAAACCCTTAAAATAATCACAAAACATGAAAACAAGTAAGAGCTAGAAGGAGAGTTAAATGACCAGTTAGCACAAATTAACAGTGTTTCCATGTCAGTGACAATCAATAAGGAAACTTAATGTCAAAAGGATTTCCTTTACAATATCAGCAAAAATATTAAATAACAAATAATAAACCAAATAATAAGTGTGCAATTCCAGTTTTAAAAATGACAAAAGCAGATAATAACACCTTAAGTGAGTGATAGACACATAGACTTAAATAAACTGTTGTGTTCCTAGATGGTAAGGTTAAAGGGTAGAGGTGTTAATTTTCTCCAAATTAATTTTCCAATTTAATTCCATTCCAATCAGAACAATGGAAGGATTTTTCTTTCACTTGACAAAATGACTCTAAAATGTATCTGGAAGACTAAACATGAGATAATAACCAAAACATGTTTTAAAAGGAGTGACTAGAGGTGACTTATACTGCAGAATTTTAAAATATGGTATATCATTAAGCCAAAAATAATTAAAACGATGTTGTAATAGCATATGAAAACACAGATCAATGGAACAAGATAAAAAGCCCCCAGAAAGAGACTCAAGTAGAGATAAGTATTTAAAACTTGATAAAGGAGGCTATTTCCAACCAGTAAGTAAAGGATGAATTATTCATTAATTGTGCCGTGACAATTATTCAATTCTTTGGGAGAAATTTAAGTTAGAATCCAATCTTAATTTGTACATCAAAACAAATTCCAAATGGATTCAAGATTAATATCAAGAGTAAGGAAAGGGGAAAAGAAAATACTATAAAAGTATCCCCCCAAAATTTAGGTGAATATTATAGAATATTGGGGTGGATGAAGTTTTCTAGGCATTTCAATAAATTCAGAAACCGTAGAAGAAAGATTGATAACTCCACAGAAATAACATGAAACTTCTATATATCAAAACTACCTAAATGGCAAATACAAACTTGGAAATAATACTCGTAGCATATATGACAGTATAAAGGTTGAGATTCTTATTTTATAAAAAGCGCTTAAACTCAACAAAAAAGACAAATACTCCAATAGAAAAATATGCAAAGGACAAGTATGGATGTTTTACAAAAGAAAAAAAAAAATTACACAAATGAGTTATGAAGAAATGTGCAACCTCACTAATAATTCAATAAACTCAATTTAAGCTAACAGTAAGATACCATTTTTTGCTCATTCAATTGGCAAAGATATAAAATAAACTACAACTTCAGCTTTGG